ACCCAAAAAAAAAAAAAAGTCTGGAAGGTTGGCAAGGTTTGGTGAGTCTGTTTTGCAGGAGGAATGAACTATTTCTAGTATGAAAATGCAGAGGTCTCTCAAATACCCATTGTGCTCCTTTTTATTTTCCAGGATTATGATCCCTTTCCCCACATAATCATGTTAAGTCAGAAAGCCTCTTCTATTTCCTATGATGCTGTATGGCTCAAAAATAAAAGGGCTATTTGGAGAGCTGTCTTCCTCATGCTGTTTTCCAGCTGTTCAGTCTCCTCTTGGGTCTTGAGCACTCATGCAGGAGGTTGCATCTGCATTGTCCATGGAACTTCTTGCTCTCGAAGAAAATCTCTCTCTTCTGAAAGCTGTTGGTGTGAAGGGAAAATAGCAAATGCTCTTGAGTTTTCCATTTTGGAGAAAATAATGCTGTTTCTCTGCTATTACTGTGCACAGTCAGAAAATGAGATGCCGGTGGGTTGGGCTCTTCAGGATTGTGCAGTGTGAACAGTTGACCCTTGCCCTGCACAGACTTTTCTGGAAGCTGGAGAAGACTGTGCATGAGCACTGTTAGTTTGATAGAGTGGGTAGGATTGCACTGATAGTGCTGTTAATTGTGAAAGTCAGGCGGTACCAGAGGAACATTATGGCTAAATGCACCCTGTATAATTTCTGAGTGTCAGATTATTCTGAGCAGAACTGTAATTCTTTATAGTTTAGTTGACTATGAATCTTGTCTCAAGGACCAGGTTTTCTTCAACAACTGTTGAAAGCTTTAATTTTGATAATACTGTCTTCCCTTTAAGCTGCTCATGATTAGCTTTTTATCTTGTTCTTGAATTAGGGATAGTCATAACTAATTTTCACAAATGAGACACAAAAGAAACCCATAGCTAGCAGTGTTTGACCTCCTGTGCACTTGCTTTTCAATGGAAATAAAAAAAAATTTTCAGCTTTAATTTTTGTTCTTTTTTGAAAAAAATGACTTAATCCCCTTCCCCTCAATTCAGTCTCTTGGAATAATCTAAGTCACAGAAAACGTAATGCCTCTTAGGGAAGCCCCTGTCTTTCAGACCATTAGTAAGGTAAGTTTTGAAGCAAATTAGCACCAGGCTTCTCCATCTGAAATATCTTAAAAGTTCTTCCATGGTGTAGTCATATGAAGATTAAAGCATTGGTTCCAAAGTATCTCTGTCAGTGTTTAGAAAAATGAGTGAATGTTTTTTCACTCCTCTTAAGTGAATTAAAAAACCCCCCAAAGACAAAAAACCAAAAGCAGTCATTTTGTTCTTTCAGTTTAAAGTTTTAAACATATCCTAACAAAACTGTAGTTATAAGACTTAACTAATCTTACTTGGGTGAATTCATGGTGTTACCACGGAAAGTAAAGCTTACGAAAGTAAAGCTTTCTTTTTATTTCTATGTTAAAGCTATCTTTGAAAACAGTTTGATACCTGTTTATGAAAGCGTTTTCAAAGCAGGATAAAAAAAAAAAGTTGCAGTGGAAAAATGAGGTCTCCTAGTATTTCCTGTTATTAACTGTGAAAGTAAAGCCTTTGTAGATAAGCAAGTTAGCAAGTACTAGAAAAGTGTGTGAACATGTGTGCATGCAGAACCCTTCTTTCAAAGCAGACCTGCAATAGAGCCTTGTCTGCCAACAGCATAGTTGCAGTTGTCCTTTTTCAGCTGTGCCGCTGTGGTAGTCTTATTCACTCATGCTGCTTATTGTCACTTGTACAGAGAGGATTGCTACACTGTAATGTTTATTTCCAAGCATTTAATCATATTCTTCGCTGTTGTTGCAATGTAGGTTATCAAACTTCTCTCCTTAGGTAAACTGTAATGTTTTTCAGTCTTTTTTTGTGTGTTTTACTTGTAATTTGCTAACTTCGTCCTTTTCTTTTGCTTTCTGTGAAGATGAGAAAGAGTTAAGTTCTGTCATCTTTTCTAGCTGTATTGCTCATAACTGAATCGGGCAGGTTATTTTGCAAGTGTCTTCAACTGGAAAATTATTAAGACTTTTCTTTGCATCCTTCTTCCTGAAGAGTCAGTGGCCATATTTATGAATGCCCTGCCATTCAGGAAGTGGAAAAAAATAGCAATATTGGCTATTAAAGGTTTTTCTCACCTTCAAAATAGATATTTGAAAGGTCTGAAACCTGAGTGTGACTAGATTAAAAACTGTATTTCTACTTGACTAATAGTATGCTGGGTTCTCGTTCCTGTGAGGCTGCAAAATTCTGACTTTAAATGCCATTGTTTAGAATAGCTGTTACTGTCTAAGATTTAAACTTGCATATCCTGAGTCTGAAAAAATAGTTTTCTCAATGAAATTGCAAGGTATGACTGATGACTGTGGGCCTAATTCTGCTCATATTGAGGTCAGTTTAGGATAAGAGGAATTAAGGCAATATTAAGCATTTTTGAGTTTAAGGAAGGGGAGAAGGTAGAAAGGTGATGTGAATTTCTTTAGAAGAAATGGATATTGGAGCAGAGAACAGGAGAGAAAATGGTAGAATGCCATGTAATCATAGGTGTACTGATATTATATTGCAGTTAATGTTCCAGATAATACTGAAAGAAAACCTTCATACTTCATTGTCCCAAATCTAGTAAATTTTGAAGTTGGGTTGTTGGATATTATGTTTCTGTCTTTTTTTTTTTTTTTTAACAAGGCTCACAATATGGAAAATAGTTTCTGCATTAAATTATTAGACCAAATGTATTAAGTCTTTTCATCTTTTTGGAAATTAACTACCTGAAAAACTGTACATGCCTGAATTTGAGTTTTCTACAGTTTAAATAGGCTTGATTTCCGAATTGGATAACAGTCTTCCCTGTCTTGTGTTTCAAAGATTCTTATCACATTCTTTTTCCTGTTGGAAGATCGCAAGAGGGCAGTGTACTTCTCAGAGTATCTTGTAACCTTGTTCTTCATTCTCCCCCTGTTTGTCCAAGATGTACAGCACTTCTGTTTTGAAGGGTGACCCATACCTTCATAGGGTTGAGGAGCTGATGTTATCAGCAATGTGAAATGTAGTGTGTGTGCAGGTGCCTTTAAGATATTTTGTGGTTTTTGAACACAAGTGGCCAAATGATGTAGTTTGGAGCTGGCCTTACCTTTTATGAAAACTTGTGAATTTTTTGACAAATTATTACAGCCTCTTTTGTTTCTAATGTTACAGCTGAAAAAATAAACATAAACCTGCTGAATAGATTTTTGTTTATGCCACAGATCAAACTGGTTTGATTTCTTTGTCCTTGCACCCATTCTGCTGAATGACACAAGTGAGCCTGGTTGCATGATTCCTTTTTTTGTTGTTGTTGATAGCAAACCAGAACACTTAAAAGTATCTGGTTCTTATGACTCCACATTCAGTTCTATTAACTAGTAATAAAGCCTGCAGACCTCTGAAAAAGTGTGGGTTTTAAAAAAAAATCATTATCCAAAAAGCATGCTACTGATACTAGGACTTAAATTTCAGCAGAAAGTTTCATCCTTTGTTTAGAGCATCTCTTTGTTGTCTTTTTCTCAGTCAACAGTGCCATTCTGAGTTCTGGAGAATGAGGACTGCTGCTTTTCTTAGAGCTTCTCTTCAGCTAGGCTCAGAAAAGCAGCCTGTAATGTTTTCTTTTGGCACTTACTGTCAAAGCTGCTTTGGACCTTAAGGCAGAATAAAAACCTATAGCTAAGGCTTGTTCTTCCCTTCAAACCACAGTGAAATACATTGTGTTCAAGAACTATTCAAAGATGGGTGAGAATCTTCACTCAAATCACAAAAAAAAACCAAAACCCCACAAACAAACAAACAAAAAAACAAACTTCAAAAAAACCCAACAAAAAGCACACAAACATACACCTCCACAAAAAAACCCAAGTGAACTGATTTGCATCTCCAGCCTTTTTACTCTGTAGCCTCCTGTAAAAGGAGGAGCCATATACAGTGTACCATTTCTCTGTGTTTTCTACAGAAAAAGTGTGAAACAACAGTAGTTTATCCGAGGAAGAGTTTTAAGTTTTTCTGCTTCTTCACCTACAGATGATGTTGCTTTTGGCAGCAAACTTTCAAGCATGAGCTGTGAACTTTGACAGCTTTGAAGGATGTCTGCTTTCTTGCGGTTGCTTTTTTGGGCAAATACTTTTTTAACAGTGCTGCTGGTTGTTTGACAAATCTGTACTGGGCTTATTAAACTAATGGGATGAAAATCATTAGCAATAGGCATTGTGTACTGTTTCCACCTTACCCGATAAACTGTCTTGTCTATTCTGTATGATGAAGCTCCTTACTACATTTATATATACTATAGGTCATATATATACACACCCACACTCTATAGTATAGTGTATATATATATGGTGCTCTTAAAGCTGAGCAGCAGAGGATTTAGCTGTCCCTGTTTTCATCCTAGTAAGGAGTTTGTTGCCACTCTGAATCTGTACTGTGGGGTCATTCCACGACTAATTTCAGTTAAATCTGACTCCTAATGTAAATACTTTGTTAATCATCATAGGACCTTTATATTGTTTGGTCTTCCTCTAGCTGCAAGGGTATTTTACTGAGAACTTAACAACAGTAGCAACTTGCTTATATAGATGAAGGATTTAGGTATACCTAGCCTGTTAACAGGCTGATCATCAGTTGTCATATAACATCAGAGCTCTTGGCTGTTGATTTCAAAGCTTGCCTTTTACAGAGGGGTTGACTTTGTAGGATCATTACTGATTTCCTAAGTATTGAGTTGAGTTCCTCAAATGAAAATTTCGGATTGTATTTGAGATTAAGTTGCCTGAATAGTCTACTAAGTGTTCATCTAATTTCATACGTGTTGGTAAAATATCTTGTCAGTCATCTTCTGTGTTTAATGTGAGTGTAGCTGAAATCAGTGCATCTGTCCAAGGGGTGTTGCATGGACATACTGGTCAGAGTCCCTCAGGATGTTTGTTCCTTGTCTGTTGGCAAGACTCATTTAAGTGTGCTGCAAAGTATACATCTCTGTGCTGCTGTATGTAACCTTTGAGTTAGTGTTGAACCTACCACATTGTGATCTACATCTTGAAGGCCTTTGGAACTTCTTAGATGATAAAATAAGCAGACAGGTCCCTAAAAATAAAGGACAACTGATAGAAGATCTAGTTTCTTCCAGACTCGTGCTGATATTGACACCCTCAATTGAATGTAAGGAAAAAAAAATGCTGCTACCTCAAAAGGTAAATTTGGTACTGGCTCACTGGCATCCATCAAACTTGTTTAGATAAAATGTAGTATATTCTGATCTAAAGCAAAACAAGTAAATAAACTAATTAAGTGAAACAAGTTTTCTTTTTGGACAGTTTCAACAACTGAGATAAAGTGACTGAAAATTTTATTCATTGCATCAGGGTTTGCATAACAGCACATCTTCCTCCTATCTAGAGCTTATCTGTATTTTCTCATCCTATGCAAACTATGTTTAAGGGTCTTATCCTTTTATAATGGTTGTATTCCTTTTTTTTTTTACTACAATCCAGCATCTCCAGTTTTCAGTATAAGATGAAATATTTGTTTCCTCCTGTAAAAGTACATTCCTGCTACCAGCTATCAACAAAGACTTGTAATCGAGTTGTTACAGTGATTAGTCATTAATTGCCACCATCATAGTCCAAAAAATAGAGGAAGATCAGAACCTTTTCATATGAAGCGTTCTCATGGAAAGGACAGTGTTAGACCTCATCCCTGAACTCTAGCTCATATCGAAAAACAAAACAAATTTTAAAATTCCAGTTCTGTTGAAGTCTTATGTTAGCCATTGTTTAGGTTGGACTTCTAGTGTGAGGCATGCAGCTTTTCTTTTTTAGTAACTGGGAATAATCCCTATCAATACATTCACAGGGAAGAAGCTGAAGGAAACAAACAGGCATTCAGGATTTGTACATCTGGATTCTGAGTACAACTATGACTCTACCGGGCTTTTATATCTGTGAACCAACTTTATGGTTGAATGTGTTCTGGGGTTTTTTTGGTGTTTTTTTTTTTGTTTGTTTGTTTTTTTGTTGTTTTTCTTTTTCTTGGGTTGGGAAGAATTCTGAGGTGTACTGGAAATAAAAGCACTTGAGTTTATTTTTATTTAAAAAAAATAATAAATTAAAAATTGCACATTTGGGTCATATATGTGCAAAAAATGGCATTTGTGTTGATGAGAGTTTGCACCCAGATTGCTGCAAGGTAAATAACTGTTCATCATGGATTCCCAGTTTTTGAGAAATACTTTAACATTCTTTATGCTGTAATTTACCAAACATGCAAAGTCTTGTTACTTTGAGAGCCTATTTTTGTTAGGGGTGATTAATGTCTTGAGTAGAATGTTGTGTCTGTTACCATTTGTAAGCACTCTCTACAAGTATCTAAATATTTCAAATGGTTGAAAAGAAAAAAATAATGAAAAAAATAGGCTTGGTCATTTTTCAAAATGCATGTGATTTTTATCATAAGAGCAGTTTGATTTCTTTTCCAGGATTATGAGAATCTGCATTTCCTTGACTCTTGTCCATTTTTATACAGCTTTTCATAAGAGCTTGTTCTGCCAAAGTTGAAGAATCTTTAGAAAGGCTATTTGATGGTAATACTTTCAGAAGGGCCCAGGGCTGGAATATTAAAGGCATTCTCTATATACCATTAATATTCTAGCACTGCATTTGGCAACATTTTGATTCTGAAGAGAGTGCATGAGTTCAAGGTCAGAGAGATTGACTTGTGCTGTTCATTATAACCAATTATTGTGTGACAAATGAGTTTGAGATCAGGCTGAAAATTCTGTGAGAAAAATCAATAGTTCTAATCAGAGCCTTTCAGGTCATTTACCACCCTACCTTTTGTTACTTTGTCAGAAGAGAGCAAGATAAAACCTGTGTGACAGTGGGTTGCCTCCGTATTGTTACTTTCCATTTGAAACATATTTTGATATCTTGAATTATATTAATAGTTTAATTGGTTTTAGAAACTTCTAAATGAGTTCCAATTTGTAAAACTTCTTTTTTTTTTTTTTTAAAAAAAAAGTATTCTGATAAGATTTCTCAACTGGTATTAAAGCTTTTCTGTCTAGGAAGTAGTATATCTAAGTCCTAAACCAGATTTGAGCTGTTTATCTGTAATGAATAGCAAATAAACCTTACTAGCAGATATACTCCACTAATAGCCTTAGTTTGGTATTGGGGATAATTTAAAAAGCTCTTCAGAGAGTGACAGCTTTACAACATCTGAAACAACAATTGAATGTTGTTTTGACCAAGCTGGGCATTTGTTGAGAACTTTATAAATTCATTTGGTTTTTTATTTGTAGTATCCAGACGAAGATGAAGAAACTCGATTGTATCGTTTGAAGATAGAAGAGCAGAAGCGTCTAAGAGAAGAAATTCTGAAACAAAAGGAGCTGAGACGGCAGCAGCAGGCTGGTGCTAGAAAGAGAGAATTGCTCGAAAGACTTGCGCAGCAGCAGCAGCATCAACCTTCTACGCAACAGTCCTACATGCAGCAGGAGGATGACTCCTCCGAGTTCCCCACCAATGGCAGCCCTTACATACCCCACTCGGGCTTACAGACCAGGCAAAATGTGAAAAACAGACTCCTTGTTAAAAAACAAGATACAATAGTTGCAAATACCCAACCCAAACCCACAGATTTCCCACAGGTTGGGGTGACTATGCAGTACCAAGGACAGCAGATGAAGCCAGTAAAGCAGCTGAGGCAGACTAGAACAGTACCTACGAGTCAGCCTCAGGTGCCTCAGAAAGTATTACAGACAAAACCTGCTGCAGCATCACTACCCACGACACAGACTGGTCGATTGGCTTCAGTACAAGCAAGGCCCCAGGAACTGAAACCTGGCGTGAAACGGACTGTCATGCAGCGGACAAACAGTGGTAGTGGAGATGTGCCCCATGTCGGCAGCAAAGTCAGGGTGATTAAATTGTCAGGAGGGGTAAGTTTCCAAGGCTCATCTCTTGTGTGCGTGTTGTCATGGTTTGGTTTTGTGTGTTTCATTCTGTGTAATCTCAAAATAAAAAATGGGCCTAAGCTGACAAGGGAAGTAGCAGGTTTAGCAGACCTCATATTTTATATTTTCAAGACTGTAAGTTATTAAGTTATTCAGAAATCAGTATTTCCTGTAATGCTTTACTGCCAGGCAGTTACCACTGAAATCACACTAAAATAATAATGCTTTCTTTTAAGTTGTAAGTTGTAACGTCAGTCTGAAAGACTTCTCAACTGAGCTCCTTTTGCTTACAGTTGATGGGTCTAAAAATGGTTCAGAGAAAAAGATTTGAATGGCTGTTTTTAAGGTTTGGTTAAAAAGCTAGGCTCTTCTTATTTAGTAGTTGAAGCCACCTGATTTATTTGTGTGCAGATGCTGGTGTTAGTGGGGTTTCTGTACTCAAGACTGTTTTTATTTTCTTGGGAAGCATGTTGTGAAACTTAATTTAAGCAGTAGATTGGAGGGGGATATTTTCTGTTAGAGGCTGGGTTTAAAACATTAACATTTCACTTCTGCATCTAAATGAGATTTCCTTATCTTTTGATGAGGGGGTCTATTATCTGCAGAGTGTCCCTTGAGCACTGGTGTTGTGGAGGATTCACAATACTGGTCTTGATGGCAGTGTGCATATTTAAGATCTGGAGCTTTAGTTAGAAAATATCTTGACCAAATTTCTTCTGTCTTAATGAAAAGACAAGTTAATTTGTTAGGGCTGTGAAGAAACAGAGATGAGGGGACATAGCGAGATGATGTTGTCACGATGAAATCTGTCCTCGGGTTTTTGAGGAGGAAAGAAGGATGTGATGTGGTTTAATGTTGTGGTACATTGGAGGTGTTTTTTGAGAAGAATGCTTCTTAAATTACTCGGAGCGTTAATAAGGGAAACTTGCAGAACTGCTCTAAGCCTGCAATGAAGTGAACTGTGTTAACAGGGACTGAACAAGGCCTTGGAGGCTAGGCTATACTCTCTAGAAATGGGGAGGAAGTCAAAATGTCAGAAAGTTTTAACTACTTTTTATAAACGTCTTTCTACATCTCATAAAACTTAAATACACTTAAAATTCTGAACTCCGTAATGACCATGTGGTGTTTCAAAATATTAGTGTAAAGGACCTTATTGACTACATAGAACTGAAAACAACCTGACTTGGAGGATGTCTGGTTCCTCAGACAACTTAAGTACAGAAGAATAAAGTACAGGTTGAAAGTGATTCTGTTGGTCTAAAAATATTTATATATAAATATGTCTGGGAGAATCCCAGTGGCCTGCAAGAGGTATGACAGGTTTGTTATTCATGAATAATTGAATAAAGCAGTCATGCACAAATTCTTTTATTATGTGGTGAAACAAAACAATGCCAGTCACCACTGTATACAGCTCTTTGTAACAAATGGTTATCAGTGCCCGCAGTAGCATTCACAATGAAATAGTTTTTTATCATATTGCTCTTTTGGAAAACCATAAATGATTTGTTTCAGATAAGTCTCATGGTAAGCAAGAGCAATTAGCTTCATTAAATGCATGTGTAACCTCACTTTCACTGTATACAGAAGTAATTTGCTCTGACCTTCTTAACTTTCAGATACCAAGGCTTTAGGAAAGTAAAGTAGGTTCTTTACATGTAGTCTTTGTTATTTTTTTCATATTGCCATGGACATTTTAAGTTTTCCCTCCAACTGCGTAAGAATAAAAGCAAGCATTGCAATTAACTGTTTAACACTGATCAAGATAGTTGATTAATTTTTAATCAGTTAGTGACAAGCTGAATCCATGACTTTGTTTCTTTGAGCACATAAGGAAGAAGAAAAAATTGAGCACCGGGGGGCCAATCTTGTCTATTTTGACAAGATATTAAAGAATTAAAAGCTGCTTGGACTCTGAATACTATAAAGATCACAGATCACATTTATCTTCCACTTCTACTGTTTAGTCCTGACACATGTTTTATTTATATTGGCAACTTCTGCCTCAACCTGAAATATAAAGCAAAAGCCGAATCTCATTTTTTCCTAGCCATTCTCCTTAGCATATAATGGTGCTTCCTCCAGTTCCTTGCCTTTGGCCAAAGGGATGGCTGGTATCTCTTTATATGTGCTGACTTGATCCTGCAGTTAAGCAGCCCTGCCATTTCTCTCAGTCTAATTGTACCCTTTTTTCTTTCTAGAGCTTTTTGTGCAGAGATGTTTTGAATATCCGTTTACAGTGAGATTGCTTGTGATTAGACACAATGTAGGTTCTTTTTTGAAGCTCTCTTGATTCATGTTGGTAAAGACTTTTGAAAGGCCCTTCTCTTTCAGCCTGCCAGTGTGGTACAGCATGATAGTAGAGCCATCAGTTGAAGAAGCTGTTTGAGGCCAGACCCATACTAACTCCAGACCAGATTGACCTAAAACAGGAGCTGGTAGCATGGACTGTTAGAGATTTAGTAGGACCATCTGTAGAGCCAGGAGAACACAGGTGGTGTGTTACTGTGCTGTTTTTTGTTTAACAGTTAAGGAGATGTTCTTGGAGTATTGCTGAGATTTATGGTACACAAATACTGTCAGAAGAGGATGATTTCTTCTCTTGAGGGCAAGTATCATTCCCAGTCTAAGCTTCTATACTATGGTTTTTTGTGTTGCTGACCACTGCAATATTACTGAGGATCTCTGACCTCCAGGTAGAAGTAGTCCTTGTTACTTAAGGTAAAATGGCCTTTGATCTGTTTCCACAGTATTCTCTTTTGAGGAGATTTTACTTTTTAAGTATTTTTATGGAATTTGTAAGAGTTACTAATTAAATTCCAAGAAAAATTTTAATTTGTCCAGTTTACCTGATGCATAAGATGCCTTAATTTATGCCTTTTTATACTTAAAGAAAAGGGAAGCAGAAAATGATTCGCTATTTTGTGTATGTAAGACTTAAGTCTACATATCAAGGAAGGTGACACATTAGGTAGTCATTAATGATTTTGATGGTGACACATTAATGATGCTTTTTTTAGACAAATTCCCCCTTCCCCCGATATACTCATCCCTTTCTAATACTCCTGTAGTTTATGCAGGAATTAGTGTTTAGCATATGATGCCCAAATACCTCTTGATGGATCCAATATCCTTTGTGGCTGTGTGACATGTCTTCAGAGTTGTCCTTTCCAGATACAGAGTTCAGTGTATTTGCTGAGTGTTCATATTAGTGTAGTTCACTAAGAAAACATCTGAGATTTGCCCCTCTTGATGAGGAGGCTGAAGTCAATCCTTCAAAAATACTTGTAAGAATAAACTCAGATTGTGGAGTGTTTGTTGGGAAGAAGCACCCTAATAAGTCACTTAAAAATGGGATCATAAAATTATAAAAAATAGCACTGAAAAGACCATAGAAATAATTTATCTGTCTTGAAGGGGGATTTTGTCTAAGCTTTTTCTGATACATCATTATTGGAGATTTCTTAAGTGAATTTATTCCAGTGTCTAATGTCTGCATTTAGGGGAATTTTTCGTAGTGACCAAACCACGTTTTCTTGCTGCAATTTTGAATCTATGACTATTTGTATTGTACTTGGAGAGACAGGAAAGAATTTGTATCCTTCTTTGTGTCTGTCTCTCTAAAGATCACTTAACTGTTTCTGAGGACTCGTATCCTTCAGTCCCTCTTGTTGGGACATGTTTTCTAATACCTAGTTGGTGATGGTCATCTTTGGGCTCTCTATGATCAATCTATCAGTAAATAGTTCTAGTACCAAGTGCAATTGAATCCTTAGGCCAATATATATTAGAAGTGTCCTTATGGAAGAACATGCTTGTACCAGCTACAACCGTAAATATCTTAAGATCATATGAAATATGGGCTGAATGTGTTTTTCATTTAGTTGGAGGTTGTGTGGGAAATGGTAGTATCTTAAAATTTCTGTATCATTCAGTCATCTTACATTGTTGTTGGGTGATTTCTCTCTAGCCAGAAAATGGCCTGCCATGCTCAGAGAGGTGTGTGTCTGTCCCAGAGGCCTGAAAATGCTGGTTCTTATGCTGCACGAAGAGCACTCCAGTCTTTGTCTCTGTGGAAAGCTGTACAGTGAGCGTTTTTCATAAATACGTATATATAAAAATACATAAACATCTGTTTTCCCTGTTGGATTAGAAGCAGTATCAGTGGTTATGATTTCTGAAAACCTGAGATGATGCTTCATCTGAAAAACTTCAAGAAAGATATGACAAGTTCTTTTGAGAAGTCTGTTACACAAAATGTCCTTGGATTGTAAAAAGAAAAAGGAAATTGGAATGTAAGATAGGCAACTTTATTCATATTTAGAGTAACTGAGAAGTGTAAGAGATTAATATGGAGTTCTAAATATGGAAAAAGATACTGATAGAGATAATTATTGTTTGATAATGTAATCTTATCAACCAACTTCGGTTAATGTTTGTACTTGTTTCTACTTGCATGTGTATGTTCAAGTTTATATTTGACTTGAAAGCTCTGTAGCGCCTTTCATCTAAATATGTCAGGAATTAGACGCTAAGAACTTTGGCGTTTACATGGCACGTTCTTGAGGGAGCACTTTACCCAGCATTGCAGTGCTACTAGCTGCAAGAAACAACACAGGAGCTCTCACTGCATACCGTACTATTACTTTTTAGAAGCAGGAGAATGGCATTGTGGTTTATTTGTATCCCACAATTTGAAGAAGGTAAAGATACTGTCCATATTCTATCAGCAGCAGACTGAAGGAGCTGCAGAAACCATGATATCTGAATGTCCAGATACCATGTTTGTCATTTAGTGTCAAAATGGGCAAGACCTGTCAAGCAGTACTGGTGTCAATGCTGTTGGAAAAGGAGTCTAACTGCCACAACATGCAAGATTTCACTCTGGAAATATTTCACAAATGGACATTAATTTTTTTTAATTCTACCTCAAAGTAACAGATAAAAAAAGGAAGTTGGAGAGCCCTGTGGTATTCTGGTTA